CTTCTTCTTCATAATTTTTTTCAGCCAAATTAACTTTGACAAGGGGTTGACGTGAGGGGCAATTAAATGCCATATGTCCAGGCTGTTAGCACTTGAAACACACTATTTGTGTATTATCATGAAGTGTTTTAGGTACTCCCAACAATCTCCCAACACCACCTCTCCCCATATTAGGGTTTGGCCTAGTTGGAAAATTCTGAGAGGTTTGGTTTCCGCGCCCTATAGGTGGTCTTCTAAAGGTTAAAGCTTGCTACCCCTGTATTGAAGTAGAGCCTCTTGTCACTGAGCTATTTCTCCCAAGGCCAAGATTGACTATTTCTTCTGCTTTGAGGGTTAAAGTATAGGCATCAGACATCTTATAGACATCTTTGAACCAATTCAATCTGAATGCCTTGATTTAGCCCATTCAAGTAACGACTTATTTTTTGATCTTCATACTCTTGTAAATTTACCCTAGATGTCAAAATATAAAACTCTTCAGTATAGTCACTTACCGACTTTTCACCTTGCTTGAGGTTTTGACACATTCGGTACAAAGTTCGGGCATAATTTACTGGTAAAAATTTTCGGCGCATCTTCGTCTTCATCTTTTCCCACGAATTAATCTTTTCCTTGCCTTGTCCAAGACGATCCTGTTGCAAATCATCCCACCAAACCAATGCATGACCAGAAAATTTTATGGCTACTAATTTTACTTTTTTGTGATCTGCAATATCTTTGTACTCAAACACTTTCTCTACTTTACTTAGCCAATCAAGAAAATCATCTGCATGCAATCGACCATGGAAGTTTGGAATATCAATTTTTATTCCAGGTTCTCTTTCTCTTTCCAACAACCGAAGAATTCGTTCATTGAATTCGTTATTAGTCGGGGCCACCCGAGGTTGGTGCATACCTCTTTCATCTCTGTTGCCTTGAGTTCCAACGCCAGTATCTGGATTCCTTCCATCCTGAAGCTGAGCGAACCTTTGTGCAAGCTCATCGACTTTCGCGGCTACATGCATGAATTGGTCTACTCTCTCTGCTAGGCCTTGAACTAATCCAGTCAATACTTTTAATCCATCAAGGGGTGTCTCCTGTGAAGCCATCGAAACCTCGCTCTGATTTCAATTGATGCAGGGAGAGAATAAAACTAGAAAATTGACAATAAAAAGAAGGAAGGTTAAGAGAAAAATACCCTCTCTCTCAAAAGTCTGCAAGGGAATCCACCCCCAAAATTATCTCTTTCAAGAGATCAATTTTTATTCAATTCATAGACTGCTTTACAAGGATAGGAGATGTCCCTTTAAATAGACTAAAATAAGATAACTAATAAAAAACTTCTCTCTACACCTATCCCTATTTTCTCTCTCTCATATTCATGGGCTTCTAGATAGCCACGTTTTTCCTCTCTTGTTTTACCCAAAAAAAACCTCCCAAGTTGGTTATTGTTAATAAAGATAAACTCTCTTCTAAATTTACCCTTATCTTAATTATATCCCTCAAATTAACCCAATCAATATAAGATAAACACAATATAAACTCTAAAGCCACCTTGCTAATTATCCTTGTGCACTCCCTAAACAAAAGAATAATTAAAATAATCCTAATAAATAACCCTATTAATTTTTCCTTATTACGTCATTGGCCTTTTTTTCCCTCTTGGGTTCTGCGACCTTTCTTTGGCCCAGTAACGAAGGGGCATGGCTGCATCAGATTCTCTCTCTCTCTCTAGAGTATAGAATTGTTTCTATAGGATCACATTGATTTCTATCTCTGTTCATTGTTAAGAAACAGGAGTGCCTTGTTGACACTTATTTTATCATCAACAATTTAGACATGCGTAACCGTAAAAAATGTTCTAGTTTATTAGATAGTGGGAACAATCATTGTCTCTTGTAAGTGGGGATTGTTGTGATATCCCGCTGCTTAGCTCTCTCTCTCTCTCTCTCTCTCGACTTTTTGGTTGATTTGGATAAGCATGATTTAATTTTCCTTGGTTCAAAGCTCTTGTAACTATTACTAAATGTTATATGAATATGGACCTGAATATTGGTTCAGAGCAATGGCTCAATTGAACTCAAAAACCACATCATAATTACAAATTAAGAGTTCAAGGACTTTAAAAATGAAGTTGGGTCATGGAATACATGGAAAGAGAGTTCTAGATTATAGATAAGGAGTTGATAACGATGGGACAGATGGTTGGGGAATTTGAGGGCATGAATTTCTGTAGTCTAAATACTTTAAGGCCCTTTAGCCATGTTATTGGAAATTGGGAGAAGCCCA